TGACGATTTCGTACCATTAATCACCACACACTGCTTGTGATCATACAGAAAGTCTCCGACTAGGGCACTTCCCCGAATCCCGTACCCTTCCAGTTTAATTATCAGCCTTTCATGGGGTATGCTGTCAAAAGCCTTGGCAAAATATAGGTATATAATGTTGATATTGCCACCCTGTTCCAGGATTTGGATCCATACATCCAGTATCTTGAGTAATTGTGTTAAACGAGTGTCCTGGCATAAAACCATGTTGGCAATCCTTTACAAGGTTGTTTCATGGTAGATGTTCCATCCTGGCATCTATTAAAATGCTCTCAAGTACTTTGCCTACTATGCTGGTCAGGCTCACTGGTCTATACTATAATTTGTGGAGTGACGATTGCCCTTCTAGAAAATAGGACTCGCATAAGCCATTTTCCAATCACTGGGGACCTTTTGCTCATCCAGGCATTTACAGAACAGGATCTTCAGGGGCTCAGCAAGCTCGTTGCACAACTCTCTTAGCACTCTGGGATGCACCATGACAGGACCGGGACTTTTATGAACCTTTAGTTTTAACAATTTATTTTTTATAACCTCTTTTGAGTACACAATGTAGGTCAGCGCTGTGTCGAACTGTCTGTCCTCAAATGCAAATGCAGGAAGATTGTTCACATCCTCTCTTGTGAACACCGAGTAAATGAACCTGTTCAACGCCTCTGCCTTGTCCTAGTCAGAATCAGCGTAACTACCATCTTCAAGCCTCAGGTCCGAAACTCCTACTTGCTTTTTTTAATTTTGACTTTGCATAGTGGTAATATGCTTTTGGGTTTCACTTGACCTCACATGCAATCTGCCTCTGGAGCTCTTTTTCAGCACTTCTACTCTCTGACTTTGCTTGGTTCCTGGATCTGGCATAAATCCTCCTTGCCTGCTTATCATTTGTCCTAACCCACGTCTCGAAATCCTGAGATTCTTCTTAACTTTGCTGACTGCCACATGGTTCATGTGTAGCGGTCTCCTTGTATTCCTGGAGGCACTGGGTTTGGTCTTGTGTATATATTTATCGATCGAATGGTTAACTTTTCTGGCTCTGATATTCAGAGTAATATCTGTGTTCTTATTTCTTAGTAAATCAGTCTAGTGTATACTCCTCATCTCCTCCCTTATCCCGTCGTAATTTCCTTTGTAATATTTGAACTTGGACCTGCTTTTGTCGTGAACCAAGTAACAGTTAAATCTGAAGGACAGCGTTATGTGATAACTGATGCCAACGGGGGCTAGGTCTTCCAGATTTGCCACCAAACCCTCCTTGTTAGTAATGATGAGGTCCAGCGGTTTGGGTATTTGTTCCCTCTGGAGTGAGTCGGATCTTTAACATGTTGGAATAGAAAATTGTGTCTCAGAGTTTCTACGAAAAGAGTGGTGGGATTATTTAGGTCGTTTGGCGTGGATTCATTTCTCCAGTCGATGTCGCCATTATTAAAGTCCCCCATGAGGAGGAGGTGGCTAGGATTTAGCGCCGTTACATTGTCAATTAAGGTTCTTAAGTTCCTTTGGTTTAATACGCTACAGTTTGAGGATCTGTAGACCTTATCAAGGAACGTGTCAGTACTGTACAGTATTAGTGTACATGACTTTCATGCAGGAATTTATTCTTGGTAACGTCTTTGATCTTGGTAGTGATTCCAGCCTCCCTCCTTTCTTAGTAGCTGCAGCGTTTGCTAAATTCCTTGCTTCAGATATTGTAAAAGTGGAGGATGAAATCTACTACTTTCAGGGAGATAATAAATATATTACTTAAGTTTTGAGTTAAGACTTAATGAGTGTTTGAGGCTGTGAAGAACACCTGAGATGTTGGGCTGATTTTTGTCCCCATACAGTGTAGCTCAGGATGCTTATATGTACGTTAGGGTGTGACAGTTGCCCCAACTTTGTCCTACGATGCTGTTCAAAATTTTGGTGTTGCATGTTGGCTTAAAAAATACCCACATGCAATTTTTTTAAGATTCATGCACATTTGAGTGAGCACCAGAAATTTGAAAAATAGCGATTTTGCTTATACGGCATACGCGCCTATATACTGTATGAGATTACACAACCATCATAAGGAATATTAACACAAATCATTTGCCTGTCTTAATTAAAAGCTGTTATCGTTAACACAAAAAAGTTAATCATTCTTATTCTCTCATGGTACATTAAGGGGTTTTATCATATACTGTATTCACAAGGTATTATTTCTCTAGAGCAAGAAACCATGATTACTGTTCGGAAACAGATGATCGTTTGCGCTGATTAGGAACGCGGAGTCTGTCATTTTCAACGACTTGAAGGACTTCTTGAAAGCGCTCCTCATCCCTGGCAACATTAAGAAAGTCATGGCAAAGTTTTACACCATGCTCTGCAGCCTCATTGACGACCTGAAGCTTGTCCACAACCCGTTTCATGTTCAGGTAGTCGCCATGATCCGCCCATTCACTGGCTGGACTGTGGAGAAACTGATAGGGCATGCCTAAAATAGTGAAGAACCGGCTTGAGTCATGCCCAATTAGGTCCACCAGGGCAGTGCCACTTTCTGGGACGGGGAAGATATGGCTTTCCATAGCCCCCATGATTGAGCCCCACTCTCTTAGTAACAAAGCCAGTGGGGCCAACTCCTCAGTTAGGTACTAAGTGTGTCTACCGAGTGCCACACATGGTTTGTCAACTATTGTGACATCATATGGGGCAAATTCAGCCAAGGTTTCGACCAAATTCAAGTCATTCAGTGGCGCACTTGCTGGAACGGGGCAAACAATCCACCATGGGACATAAACAGCGACTGTGAACACAGCAAACCGTTCTCACTTGCTGTTTTGACTTTTAGTCACAACCTTGGCTTTGGGAAACTGCTCTTTGATCTGGCCTGACAAAAGAACAATCTTGAGGGTATAGAGCAGTTTAGCCATCCACCTTGCTTTGTGAAGTGCGCCGGGGTAGACCATCGTGAGTTCACTGGCTCGGATCCTTAGTTACAGGCAGCAGACAAAGCTCTACCAGCTCCTTGTAGTCGCCACGTGTAAATGGTTGGGCTAGAGATTCACGGAAGAAGTCAGCCATCTCCTGCTGGCGCTCCTCAAGCACTCCAGGCATTGTGGGGGTAGTAGTATTTCTTTTTTCATTGTACGCCAGTTGAGAGAAATGGGTCTTGAACCTAGAAATGCAATTATTGGGATTATTGTATTTCGTACTAATCTATAATATTGTTTTAGGGGTATTAAGATTGATATGATCGATCATTTGCTTGGTGTTAGTATATCTTATAAGTCTAATAAAAGAAATTCCACTAAATTTGTTCATTAGATAATAATATTCCTTGTTATTTATGAAGTTCATAAGCTGAAATAGCAATACTTGCTGGTACGACGGTGTTAGCTCAAACATGCACCGATCTCCAAGAAAATTTACAGGGGTGTTTCCAAGATAAATACACAACACTAAAACTTTGAACAGCATTGTAGGACCATTTTTTTATTTTTGGAGGGCAACGGTCACACCCTAATGTACGTGCAGAAATAATTGTTATTGATTATGAATATTTGTGTTAATTATCTTTTCAACAAGTCATAGAAAGTGAAACTTCATTTAAGGGATTATGTTATGATAAACAAAACACATATTTCACAAACCAAACATCTTTTTATAGTGGACAACACATTACTGGACTTGAAATTTAATCCCTTGTGTATGGGCCCCCCTCTGAGCTGAATAAAATCATCTGGCATTAGCCAAGTGGCATCCCTGTAGTAAAGGGGTTAAATTAATTTTGGTGTTTCTATGTAGTGACAGTTTATGCCAGGTAGGTAGGTACTAGGTGCAACAATGAGGAAGCATGAAGTTGTTGGGAAGTGCACATGTGAAGTTTACCACAAAGAGGCATTTGTTGCACTCCCTTAAAAATAAGAAGTACAATACTGTACTGTACTGTGTAAATGATTGAGACTTAGTACAGTATAACTCTTCTATATCCATTAACTGTGTTCTCTTCATATACAAATGTGAAGCTATAGAACTACAGTACAGTATTGACTTTTTCTCAATTTTACATCTTTGTTTTTCCTTGATCATTCATCAAATCATGATACAATGGATTACTGAAAATTCAGCAAGGGTCAGACTAAGTAGTTGTCAGATTTTGGACTTGCCAGTTTTAAGAAACTTGCCATCACAAGCACAGCAACTGTAAGCAATGAATGATCAGTAGTGCAGGCAGCCACAGTCCCAGACAACAGAGGAATGACTACGTGTTCCAAATTTGGGGATATTTTCCTGACGAGTTATAATTTGGGTGCGGTGGACCTTGTGACCATGACCACAAAGTACTGTATTAGGTATTATACTCTACTGGACATAAGGTACTGTACTGAGGTTTGGATCCACAGACCTTACACTTTAATTATTACATACATAAAAGGTACATTCGACCCAACATCCCAGGTAAAGCTAAAGTATTCTATGTTCAGTACTATACCAGTACTTAGAAATAGAAATAAATTTTTAAATTTATATTTATTGTTGCATAAAAATGCCTGTTCAGTATCTATCAACCTTGTGTGACACAAATTAAATTTATATTTTTGCTTCTCTCGCTATAAATAAATTAAAAATGGGATAATTGTCCAGTGCAGTACAAGTACTACTGTACTTGTAAAAAGAAATGAAACAAGATTGGCTAAAAATTTTCATTTGTAGTGAAAAATACAAACTGTTGTGTTTAGGCAGCCAAAGTTGTCGTCCAAGGTACCAATGAATGAATTAGAGACTTAAGGTAAATTTGAAATGTTTTTTTTTTTTTAGTTTCTGATTTTTTTAATGACAGATATTCAGCCATCCACTGAACAAACTGAATATATTATTAAACGTTTTCCTTCTCTTGTTTATCCATTCTCTCCATATATACCTACCACCTCTCATACATCCTCCCATCCTGTTTTAAACTCAGGATGAACCAAATCTTTACTGAAACTTAGTGTATGCTTCAGGCTCAAGTATGGGGTGTGGCCTATGAAATTCCTCCGGAGCAAGAGATGAGCGTTACAAAGCAATTGAACGTACGTGAGCAGCGCTTTAATAAGCGGAAGTCTGTAACTATGTACTGCCCCAGTGGAGAGCTGTTATCCCACCCTGTGCTTGTGTATGTAGGAAGTAATGAGCCAGAACTATTTTTGGGTGATGCTACACTAGAGAACATGGCTGAGCAGATTGCCAGGAGTCATGGACCCTCAGGTGCCAATTCTGAGTACCTGTTCCAGTTGGCAAGGTTCATGAGGGCTGAGGTGCCACAAGCTCATGATGATCATTTGTTCCAACTTGAGGCAGCAGTTAAAGAATTACTCACCAAATCCAGTGAAGACCATCCACAGATTGACTGTCGTCATAGTGAATAATAATGGGTATGCTTCTGTTGCCTGTTAAGCCTTATAGTATTGTATTTTATAAAATTTCTCTCATCTTGATACACATATTAAATTCCCAGTACAGAACAGGTAATACTGTACCTGTAACAATAAAAATATTGAGTGTACTCAAGTTCCAATAATAGTAGATTCATTTTAATATCAGTTAGTTGATTATTTTGTGAAGTTCATTGTTCAGGTTAACAGTGATTATAAACATATATGACAGTACTGTTGGGTTTAAGCTTCCTACTATTGTGTATGAACACCACTTGTCCTGCCTGCTTATATTGACTGTAGGAGCTCTACCATAATATCACTTATAATTTTTACATTTGTATTGCCTCCATCTATACTCTCCACTTCCTCTTTTGTGTCACCCATGTTCCACTCACTGGAAACTTTCAAAATATTTGCTTTTTATTTTGCTTTTTCTGTGTTTTTAAACTACCTTTATCATTCAAATTCAGAATGTTTTCGAAGCCAATTGAAGAACTTCTTGTTCCAACTCTTCTTTAAGATTATATTACTTGGTTGCTCTTCTTTCACCTTCTGTAGTTGGAAATGGACCATGGCCCTTGGATGGATGGAATGATAGATAATTCAGGATGTAGATGGAGAGATGTACTGTACTGTAGATGATTAAGACCTCAATCATGAGAACATTCGAGACTACAAATTCATTTCAAGAGTTCACATGTCTCCAGATATTTTGTTGCAGTGAAACACAGTACGTACAGCTGCTCCCCGACTTACGACGGGGTTAGGTACCCAAATCCAGGTCGTAAGTCGAAAATGCAAAAAATACATAGAAAATCTAAAATGAAATACAGTACAGTAAAAGTAATAAATAATAAGAATGGATACAGTGTTTCTGTGCACTTACCTTTAATGTAGTCAGCTGAATGCACCCGGGGCCCCCATAATTTTCTAATTATACATGGAGACCACATTAACTACATCAATGTCACTTTCTTCAGACAGGTTAATATACAGGGGAAACTTGCTTGTTGAAGGTATTGGATCATCTTTAGGGAGTGAAGAGGCAGAACTGGTGGGGCATGAGAAGACAGCAATGGGGGACTTCTTAAAATATATGTCCAATTTAGACTGCACAATTTGCTTTTTCTTTTCATTGTAAATCTCCCTGTAGCAAGCAAGTGCATCTTGGACCATTCTGTCAACTTTTGCAAAACGCTCAACATTTTGATCCACTCTGTCAAACATTTGCATCCCCTTATTAATTGTAGCAAATGCCTCTGCCATTTGTTTCACTGAAAAATTTTTGGGGGGTGCAGGTGGTTCTTCTACATTTTGACTCTCTTCTTCCTCTGCAATTTTCTGTGCATCTAGTTCAATAAGATCCTCGTTACTTAGCTCTTCTGCTACACTTTCAACCAACTGCTCAATATCTTCATTATCAATTTCTAACTCCAGTTGTTTACCCAACTCCACTATCTTGTTACTAATCTCAGAAATTACTTCATCTTCATTAAATCCTCTGAAACTGTTCACATATCTTTTCAGGACTTTCTTCCATATTCCCTTCATGCACTGACCTGTAACCTCATCCCATGCTGCAGCTATGTTCTTTATACATTTCAAAATGTTGTAGTCCTTCCAAAACTCTCTTGACCGTTTTCTCACCTTCAGTAGCAACAATAACCTAAGCGAAGGTCATACGTAAATAATTCGCTTTAATAGCAGCAATAGCACCTTGATCCATGGGTTGGATGATAGAGGTAGTGTTAGGTGGAATGTAGACTTCCTTAACATCAGGGTGCAGGTCGACCAGGTGTGGTGGGTGTCCCGGAGCATTATCCAAAATTAAAAAAATCTTGAATGCAATCCCTTGTTGCAGACAATAGTCCTTAGCTCGTGGAATGAAACAAGTCAGGAACCAATCCCCAAACAGTACTAGGGTCATCCGTGCTTTCTTGTTACTGCGATAAAACACTGGTAGTGTGTGCTTGCTGACATGTTTAAAAGCCCTTGGGTTCTCTGAATGATATGTCATGAAGGGCTTTATCTTGAAACCAGCTACATTCACCCCCAACAGTGTGATTCGGTCCTTGAATGCCTTGAATCCCAGCATTGTTTTAGCTTCTTTGTGGATGTATGTCCGTTCTGGCATGCGCCGCTTCCAAAATATGCCAGTTTCATCCACATTAAATATTTGCTCAGGCAAATAATTTCCCCCCACAATGACACGATCTAACTCCTCCTTAAAAGCTTCGGCAGCACCCACATCAGCACCTGCTGCCTCTCCACTCACCTTTACACTATGCAAACTGTAGCAGTTCTTAAACCTTTGGAACCAACCATGACTTGCTGTGAAGGTTTGGTCGCACTCATCTCCTGCCTGCTCCTTCAGGCTTTCGAAAAGGCTTCTTGCCTTAGCCTGTAGGGTTAGAAGGCTTAAGGGTACACGCTTTTTTATCTGATCTTCCATCCATATCACAAGTAATTTTTCCATCTCATGAATAGAACCTTGTCTTTTCTTTGTTATTATTGTTCCCTTTATAGGTGCTGATCCTTTCACTACCTTACGAATACGTTCCTTGTCCTTCAAAATTGTCGATATGGTCGAGTGCGAGAAGCCTAGGTCGCGTGAAATGGTTGCTACCATTTTTCCATTTTCATACTGCATTATTATCTTCATTTTCGTCTCTAAAGTAATTGACTGTCTCCTTTTCTTATGAGCACCACCAGCACTCTCACTTCTACGCTTGCCAGTCATTCTCAAGTGAATTAGATACAAAAATATTGTCAGTACACAGCGCGACCACTACCGACAACAACGACAGCCAAACACCAACTGAGCGCTCTACGGTGTGGGTGCTGTAGCCACGAGACGACCCAGCCCACGCAACACTCTCGTACAGGACGGAAATGTTTCGGTCTAGAAAATGCGCGCGTCATTTGAAAATTTTTTAGTACCGACTGCGGTGGTCGTACCGACTGAGGCAGGTCGTATGTGCGGGTGGTCGTAGGTCGAGTATGTCGTAAGTCGAGGAGTAGCTGTACAGTAGTACAAGTAATATCTCCGTTAGCTGGAGTTCCTCTGCACTAATTGTTCTAACTAACAGAGATTTCACTGTACCTGTACTTTATTATCCCCAACCTGTTCAACTCTGCCTCACCACCTCCACATGAAGTATTACATATATTGTACTGTATATACAGTATAGTATATATTTATTCTTGCTTTATGGCTTTATTTTACATCTCACACATTTTGTATGTACTGTACAGTACAGAGTTACCATGACTTATACTGAATTAAATTTAAGTTGATCTTAAATCTGTAAAAAGTCATAATTAAAATAAAAATTATATTTTCAATGATACTGCTCTGAAAATAAGATTGTTTCTTATACAGCCGGCACTTAACATACGCGGGGGTTACGTAACAGAGATACCCGTGGATGTTAAAAATCCGCGTATTTTTGCTGCCTGCCCCCCCCAAAAAAAAAAAACCCCGGCCCCCCATGTCCTTATTTACCGTATATACCTGTGTGTAGTTCGAGTTTTTAAGACCAAATTATTTGGCAAAAAATTGGGGGTTGACCTCTAAACGGGTAATAGTTTCGTTAGGTTGAAAAATATTTACCAGTAACTACCAGTAAACAATGGAAACGATGCACCAACGCACCACCAGCTGTGAGTGTCGGTACAGTTGCCAGGGCAGATCTCTTGCGTCATCATAGCGAGTCCAAAGTAGCCAAATCCATGGTATGGTAGTACAGGACTATGTAAAACTTAAAGTATTAATTTATTAAAGTTTATTTATAGATACTGTACATAAATTTTTGTTCATTACATTTGAAACATCAATCTTTGTTAATTAAATTTGAAACAAAAGAAAACTACGATACCGTATTTTCATTAAAATATTACATCAAAAGTATATTTTACCTTAACTGTGACTGAATGAATATTCGTATTCTCAGAAATAAATATGGAAATATAATATTTTTGCTGGAGTGACGTACATATTACAGTGAAAAGTGGGATAAAATCATGACGAAAACAATGACTTTCGCTTTCTTTCGTTATTCAAAAGATTTTACCGTAATCGCTTTTCAAATGGTTTTCAGTTAAAAAACTGTTGTACTCGTACTGTATTACAATAATATTCTATCCTACCATTAGCCTTATAATCCCACAACTGAAAACCATTCGAAAAGCGATTACGGTAACATCTTTTGAACGAAAGAAAGAGAAAGTCATTGCTTTCGTCACAATTTTATCCCACTCTCCACTGTAATACGTACATCATTTCAGCAAAAATATTACATTTCCATGTTCTCAGAAATAAATGGTAGTTTTGTTGAAACGTAATGTACAATATTTAATATTAAAATGCAAAAATAGCAAAACAATTAATACACCCGTAATGTACTGGCTGGCATCTCCACTCGTCCCTGCTCCCGCGTCCAAGGTCACCACTCCTCCCAACTCGCTCCCTCCTCACCGTCACTACTGCCGACAACGAACACAAATGTTTTGAATAACTGCACCTCCACTTCCTATGTACAGTACTGAACTGTACTGTGCTGTGCATTTTTACAAACAATAAACAAGGCAAGAAGAGCTATTAAAAAAAAAAGAGATAAAAATTTCACTTTACTGTACAGTTCCTATCCTCGGCGACAGGACGGGTGTCATCGGGCTCATCGTCACTCAATTCCATAACGGGTGGTGAAGTGGGGGCGACGGTGGATTCAGCTGCTTCCTCACTGCCGCCAGTGATTGATGGTGTTAAATCTCTCCTTCGGTGATCAAAGAACATGGTGATGGGGAGTTGTCATCTCTTTCTTTAATTTCTTCCATGATGTTTTTGTATGGGGCGAAAACGTCATCCATCCCTCGCATGAATTTCAGGGCACGCACCATGGAGGGGTCCATACTATAGGCCAGGTTTTTCAGTGCCTCAATATTCCTGGTCATCTCCCCCAACTTCTCCAACGTTATTTCTTGGTGATCTTCCTCATCCTCTTTCCCTTTCGCTTCCTCTTCCTTGCCTGAGTCTACTAACTCCTGTAGATCCTCCTCGGTCAGCTCAGTGTCGTGCTCTTCAATTAGCTCCCTAATCTCGTTCTCTGCCATGTCTTGGAAGCCTTCAGCAGCCACTTTCCTTGACAGTGCCAGGGTCTTTCTGAATATTTTCATTAAAATCCATCAAAATCATTTTCCTTGTCATCGTCTTAAGCACTAAACAGCTCCTCCCAGTCTTCTCCTTGAACAGGGCTAGAAGGTACGTGTTTTTCGAATCGTTTTCAATTAAAAAAATCTTACAGCACATGTATATTTTACCTAAACTGTGCCTGAATGAATATATTCTCAGAAATATATAGTAGTTTTGCTGAAACATGATGTATTTCAATGTAAAATAGGATAAAATACATGACAAAAACAAAAGACTTTACCTAACCTTCCAATGTTCAAGAGATGTTACTCGTTGTTTTAATAGTTTTCGGTTAAAATACTGTTATATTACAATGATATTATATTCATACTGTGCTTGATATACTACATTCACGGAAATGAAATATTTTTGCTGAAATGACGTACGTATTACAGTGGAAAGTGGGATAAAATTGTGAGGAAAACAATGACTTTCGCTTTCTTTCGTTCAAAAGATGTTACAGTAATCGCTTTTCGAATGGTTTTCAGTTAAAAAAAACTGTTGCATCACAAGTGAATTAGGATAGAATATTATTGTAAGACAACAGTTTTTTAACTGAAAACCATTCGAAAAGCGATTACGGTAACATCTTTTGAACGAAAGAAAGCGAGTCATTGCTTTCGTCACTTTCCACTGTAATACGTACGTCATTTCAGCAAAATATTACATTTCCATATTCTCAGAAATAAATAGTAGTTTTGCTGAAACGTAATGAATTTCAATGTAAATTAGATAAACTACATGAAACAAAAGATTCACTTAACTTCCATGTTCAAGATATAAAGTTACTGCTTTTTAGTAGTTTTCGGTTAAATGTTTTATATTAGTGATATTTATTCATACTGTGCTTGATATAATACATTCACGGAAATGTAATATTTTTGCAACTACAGTACAATGCTGATGTCAACATTGCTGGTTACAGCGAGACTGACTGAGTGAGAGAGAGCTATGCAGTGTGAGTTACGGGAGCGGGCGGTGTTCAGGTTCGTGTCAGCGATTTGAATGTACTTCAATTACTAATGTACAGAATATTCTCCGCGTGGGCAATCCAGATATGCAATCCGTGTATGCTAAACCAACGTGAGGCCGACTGTATACAGCTCCTCCCTGACTTACAACAGGGTTAGGGACCCAAATCCAGGTCTTAAGTCGAAAATGCTTAAATAATACATAGAAAATCTAAAATGGGTGTCTCTTTTTCTTCTCAGCACCACAAAACACTCACTTTTAAGCTTGCCAGCCATTTTAAAGTGAATTACAAACGAAAATTTTGTCTGTATTCTGACTTTGGGACTCGAAAATACGTAATTTGACCAAATTTTGGTACGACTGAGGCAGGTCGTAAGTAGCAGGTGGTCATAAGTCGAGTAGGTCGTAAGTCGGGGAGGAGCTGTATTAGAAATGAAGACTGACAAATAAATAGCAAGACACACATAAAGTCGGCCTCAGGAGTCACTATGGAGTTTTGATATGTTGTGAATGAGTTATATGCTGTACAGGATTTTTCTGATAAAAAAGTTTGTTCTGGGATTTGACAGTTTCACATATTTGCAGGATCAAGTGTGGGGCATGGCATACAAGATAAGTGAGGAAGACCAAGAGAAAGTGATGGCACACCTTGATCACCGTGAGAAAGATGGTTATCATCGTAAATGAGTGCTCTTTCACCCCCAAGACACTTCAATCCAACCTTGGCAGCTTACTCTCTACTTAGGTACATTTATACATGGGGATGACTCACTAATTTGTTGATATAATAATTAGATAAGCATATTGTTTATTTACATTACATAACATTTAGGTTTCTTAAAAGTTGCACTCCATCAAACCAAGGTCACTTTTCCCTTATTAGTGATTGATGTAAGAACACACCAGACTGGTATAACAAGTACCGTATTTTACGGCATTAGGCACTTTTGTGTCTGAAAAATGGCAAAAAACTCAGCCTGCATTCTATATGTGAAGTTGCTGTCTCCCCCTAAGCTAATGAACACCCCAGTTGCTGTCTCCAATAGGCTAAATTCTACCTAGCTCAACTCCAGAATTAAAAATATATTATTGCTTACTTAAACACATTATTATTACTTTTAAATAATTAAAAATATAATTATTGTAAATATAAAAGCTCGATTTATAACTACCTGTACTGATGATGGTAACCCGAGTTGATTAACTTTTGTACGGCAGACACCCAACTCTTCAGAGGTAGCTAAGCAGTAACCATTTCTGAACTCTTACAAGCATTACGTCTTATTAATTCCATACCTTCAACATTTATTTTAAAATCTACAAATACCCGATACAAATGAAGATTTACATATACTGTCACTTTCTTTTCACATTTGTGTCTGTTAACATCACTGGCGGCATTTTAGCCAGGTTAGACTCATCACTGAGGCTACTGGGCCAAGCTGTGAGATGTTATGGGTGTCTTTCATCTCATATTTTCGGGTAGATATACATAACTTTCTTCATTTATTTTTACTCAGTTACATGCACACACCTTCCTACATTCATAGTGTGAAAAAGTAAAAGAAAAAATTACCCTTAGGGCAAATACATAAGGGAATACTGTATATATTTCTTTGCATGTGAGTTAGCTGGCTGGCTCAGTGGGGGAGCAGGAGGAGGCAAGACGTGTGTATTTGGGGGGGCATTGGCAGAATCGGTGAGGTGGAACCTCCATTGGTATGAACCAGGAGTTATATGCAGTGACTGAGATTAACTTTCATTTTATTTACTGGTTTGGCAATACAGTATTTTTTTGTTGTAACTTATTTATTGGTCTTATTTTTATTTATTCCTCACATTTACTGGTACTGATTATATTATTTTAGGAAAACTATGGCTACAGGAGGAAAATCCACACAAGATTTTTCCTAAATACCTCCCTGTTAAAATGGGAGGTGCTTCTTATATGGCTGTGCATCTTATGACGTAAAGTATGGTAACTTGCCAGCTTTCTTCACCCCTTGAATGGTGTGTCCCTCCTCTCATCAGACATACTATTTGAATCTTCATCTCATTATTTACTGTACTGTACTATCTATATACATTATCCATATTTCTCTGAAAAATAAGTTCCTATCCACTCATCTTTTCCACATTTTCATTCTTAACTATTTCTCCTTATGTCATTACCTTGAAAATATATAGTTTTACATCAGAGCTGGAGCAAGTATAGTATCTTTGATATAATGCACTAATATTTAACATATTTTGGTATAGCGAAGAATTATTGCTGTAAGTTGGTAATAAAATGTGTCATGGCCATCGTTCCCCAAGACCTCAAGCAACCTTAAGCAAAAGCCAAAGACATAAAAAGTAATGAAAATTGTCTTGTATGGGGCAGCACAACCGGCACTTTATACATTTCTTTCTTAAGTGATTTTACAGCAACATATAACAATGTCTCTTTATGAATACAGTGTACCTTATTTAGATATTGTACAGTACTTATAAACTGTTTTTTATGAAACAATCATTTTATGGCTTGAACATGGGTTAAACTTCCCATCATTTAGATATTGTAGTGATAATGCTATATGTACTGTGCTGTGAAAGTGGGTCCCATAGGCATGACTGCCCATTAGTACACAAGGATGCAGCATGGCCTGTACTGCATTCGACCACCTTCACCCTCCCATGTTGTAAACCCATTTACAGTCAAGTGAATTGGGAGTGCCCGGGATCGAACCACCGACCCATGTACAGTAACAGGACCACTGCATCCACTTGGCTGCTGCTCCACTATACACCTTAATTGAGGCTAAAGTCAGTGATGATTATGCCCTTATCAAATATTGTGTCATATTGCTCCCTATCTATGGTGTCCTAACAAGTTTCTTTTGAAATTTATATATGGCATATAGGTAAGAAAAACAAACACCAGCACCAAAAACAAACATTATCATAACCACATCAACTGTTGTACCACACATCTATAACAATCACCATGTCTGGCATAGGAGGTAGTAGCAGTAACACACTTATGCTCACCATTTGTCAAGTCATAATACTTAAAACTTGGTCTGACTCAAACTCCTGAAATGAAATGTGATTTGAGTAATTATCTTTCAATTATGGTGACCTTGGGAATGATTTAAAAAATGCAATGTCACAAAGTCAGAAAAAATCCAAAATATGAAAACAAATGTTGATTCACAGAAGTCATAACTTTTTTATTATCTTTATGTATTCTTCCAATTTGTGGCTTTGCTGTGTAATCTGTTAGGTCATTGCAGGCAAAATTTATTGGTTTAGTTCTTTAGCCCTTTCCTACCTCTCATTTTGCATGTATTTTACTTTTGTACATCCTTGGTTTCACTGCTTTGCCTGTCCAGGTTAAGGAGGTGATGTGCTCCTGTTTGCAAAATCACTTGAGGACAGTTGAGGTAGAGGAACTGGAGACGAGAGTGGGTGTGTCAGAGGGAGAGATCCAATATACTGTACACCAGAGATGATGTTCATACCTGCTCTTCAAGGCATTAGGTCGGTGTAATTAGTGGAATGTGTCCCAGGGAAGGGTGGTAGGTTAGAGCCCAAGAGTTCATAAAGTCTCCCATCAGGTAAAGAATATTTTTTTGTTTTGTTTTTCATTTTCAGACTCCATTTTAAAATATTTTCATCTCTTCTTTTGCAGGAGCAGATTCCAATCCCTTCTATACAGGTCCAACAAATGAAGACACCATTGCCGACATAATAGCTTCAGCAGTTGGTCCAAGTGGGCCTAATTCTGAGTATCTCTTCCAGTTAGCTGAAGCAATGAGAGTTGTAGGAGCATCTGACACTCACCTGTTTAGTATTGAAACAAAAGTGAAAAATTCCTTGGGGGTATGTAGTAATAAATGATCAATTAAGTTATTCTCACACCCAAACTAAACTATATCAATACATTTACTGTAAGTGAAAAATTTCTTCAGCCTTTGTAGGGATACAAAGAGACTTAAACTAAACATTTAATTACTATTACTTTCTTTTTGTCATTTAGTATTATAATAGTTTGTAAGATAGTAAATTTCCAAGAGGCATCATGCCATTAGATCCTCAGATGAGTTTATTTTAAGATATGACAGGTATGTTTCACATTGTTGTACGTTTTGCTTTTAAGCCTTCATCTTGCCAGTAATTTGTGTTCCAACTCTTGTGCTGTGTACAAGGTTTAAGCCCAACATCTATTTAAGGCTATCAGTATCACTATAGCCTTCTCTATCAGTTGAGAGGAAATATTATCTCTGCCTGTCAGCAACTTTGATAGGGGCTAAATGGTATTTTAGTACTATGAGTACAACAGATTTCCCTTACAGCTCTTCTCCAGGTACCTCCTCTTTTTAGAAAACTTTGTTTAGTGTAAACTCGTATTTTTATGCACAGATTATATAGACTACATCTTAGTGGTCTTTATTATTCCATTTGATGGAGATATAGTAATATCTCTGATAGCCAGAATCATCGATCCCTGGAATTCTCCAATAGCCAGAAAAAAAGATTTGAGCCTTCCAAGAAATCCTTGGGGAAAAAAAATCCACTCCGGGCATGGGAACGAATTTCCAAGAGATTGCATTATGTTTCCGTCACGGGAGTGCGTACCCGGCGCGTGGGTGGGTAGACTCGGAGTACAGTACTTATGAGCTACGATTGGCCACTACTGTTATATGACTGCATGGGATACCTATGATTGGCTGATGTATCTCAGAGCCTATCTCCTAAAATTCTTGCATCATGACACTCTTAGTTCACTGTCTACTGCCATTGTACAAGCTTGTTCGCTCGCTCATTGCTGTTTTCGCATACGATCTGTGTTGTGCAGTACCGTATATTACTGTAATTGTACCAGCATATCATCAGCCAAGAATACTGTTAAAGTATTTGAGATGTAAAAAAGTGATTACAGTTACAGTTAACCCTGAATAACTCAGCATATGATAATTCAGAAGTTTATATAACTCGGGACATTTATATGAATTTATTTTAAAATAACTCGGAAAAACTGAGTTATATAAAATCTTGGAAAATCTCAGAATATTTAGTATCCCTCTCATTTGGGAATTCACTTAGCCACACAAAATTATTAGTGAACCTTTATTCAAGATTCACAATCGAAATTCAACTCTCCTCGAGGCTGTTAGAAATTTTTTGACTTGACCTTTGGCAGAAGTGCAGCTCCCACACACTCAGTGGTTAGTCAGTTCTCGCATGTGTGCTGCACTGTCCTCCCTCTTCCTCTCTACCCAGCACATGGATGCGGGAAAGGAGGGTGCTGTAGTACCCCAATATTTTGGGTGTAAAGTGCTGTACATTGCACCACAGAGTATCTAGGACACCAGAATTAGCAGTAAGCCCTCGTATAACATCGTCCCGCTTAACATTGTTTCGCATTACGCCGCTAAACTTAAAAGACCAAAAATTTGTTTAACGCCCCGTGATCCAATACTACGCCATTTTATGCTGTCGACTACTTTTATTGTGCGCATCACCCACTTTGTCTGGCCGCCACGGTATCGGCGTTACGCATCAATCACTGCTGACCACAGCGACGCTAAGCCAGTCTCCGCTAATTTACTTCACGCCATTAGTGTGCTTATGTTTTTGTTTCAAAGCCATTCGAAATGGCTTCAAGTGCTATTGATGCTAGGTGTAGTGAAGAGGTAACAGACCATTACCCTTGCTACGGAAATGATGTATTAACCAGGATTTGAAAGGACTTGCTGTGGTTATAGCCGCCATGCTTGGTTTCTTCACCCCACAATGGTGCGTACTATCCGGACCAACGCTGACAAGGTTAGTGCTGGAAGTGGTTCTTCTGAGTGCAACTAAGACAACTCTCGTATCTAGAAGTACTGTACTGTGATAGAAAAAGGAAAAGATGCTGGTATGTGGATGGAGGACCAGAATCAACACAATGCTTGTAAGCCTTATGGTTATCCAGATAAGGCCAGATCCTGCTTGACGCCATAAAGAGCAGAAGAGGGTGAAGGATCAAGCAAGAGACCTTACGGCCAGGCGAGGATGGTTTCAACGATTTAAGTGCAGGTATACCACAATATTAAGATGACTGGTAAGCAGTTCAGTTATGGTTGCTGCTGAGACATTCCGCCAGAATTCAAATGGATTATCCAGGAAGGAGGCTAGCCTATCAAAGCAAGTCTTCAATGTGGATGAGACTGGTCTCTTTTGAAGAGGATGCCTGAAAGGACCTATATCTCCAAGGAGGAGAAAAGAGCGCCAGGTTTTAAAGCGGCGAAGACTGTTGACGCTGTTGCTTGGCAAGAACGCTGTCGAGCAATTTTTAGCCGAAGCGATTTTTCGCTGCCAACCCACGGACCTTGAAAGGTTACTCTAAGGATCACCTTCCTGTAATCTACAAGGCAAATAAGAAGGCATGGATAACTGGCGCCAACAGTTTTACGGGATTCACAGACTTAGTCCCAGCTGTGAATAGGGATATCCTTAGCTTGGCTAGACAGGCAGGCTTTGATGAGCTGGAATCAGAGGATATTGAGGATGTCCTGGTTTCCCTGACAGAAGAGCTCACCAACGAAGATCTGCAACAACTAACAGAACACAGTCCCGTTAAGATGACGGAATGAAGAAGAACCTCAACGAACGCTAACTACCAAGAGGATGGCAGAATCGTTCAACATATTCCAGCAAGCAATGCAAATCCTTATAGATGACGACCCAAACAGAGAACGTAGCTCAAAGGTTCAACGCAGCATTGAGGACAGTCTTGCTTGTTACACTAAGATCTATAAGGAAAAGAAGAAGAGTAGCACCAAGCAGTCAACACTGGATTCATTTGTTCGTCGCAGGACGGCAGAAGCATCTTCTTCACAACAGCCGGCAGCCGAGGAGGAGCACAAAGCAGCTCTACCACCTCCGCCCATCGGTGAGTACCAATACAATTTAGTATTTCTATATATGTAATTACCGTATATATCAGTAGTTCGAGTTTTTAAGACCAAATTTTTCACAAAAAACTGGGGGTCGAATTTCACATGGGTAATAGTTTTGTTAGGTTGCATCCGTGCATGATGGGAAGGGCAAGGAGCAACTTTTAGCTTTAGACATGAAAAATATTTACCATTAACTGCCAGTAAACAATGGAAACGTAAAATATGTACCAATGAATAATGAAAAGCTGTGCAGATGCCTTCAGCAGATGAAGCTCACCAACTTACAATTGGCTAACTTACCTTACAATGTGCTTTCAGAAGTCTATGTTGAAGTTCTTAGCACAGGCTAACTTATCATATCATATACGGTATCACAGTACCCATTGATCTACAAAAAATACCGGTAATAAAAACCTTTTCGATATTTCACACTTAATATAATACCCGGTAATCCACCTCAACCTCATATTGTTTACAATGATGCACGACGCACCACCAGCTGTTGAGTATCATCTAGATGGCACGTGTATATATATACACAGTGGTCCCTCGGTTAACGAGCACAATTGCTCCAGAAGGTTACTTGTTAACCGAAAATTTTTAACCGAAACCATTGTTTCAATGGGTTTTTGGGTAATTGGTCCGCTCACGAAAAATTACAGACAAACGAAAAATAAATGCAGTAAAGAACACTTACTTTGAGGTGTGCATGTAGAAAGCTCCTGGTTGATGATGATAATGATGATGATGATGATGGGAATTAGAATGGGAGGAGGAGAAGGAGAAGAGAAGGCATTGGGGTGGAAGAGAAGTCACCCCATGCCGCCATTTCACCCATAAAATTTTAGTTCGCTTGGTGTAATTTAAGATTATTTTCTTTAAATCAACACTGCACTGCACTGCACTATATATTATCAATATGTAAAATATATTTAAAATGACCAATAATTTGACAGGAAACACAGAAAAAAAGCATTTATGTTGAAGAGTCTCAAACAAGATGTTCCTTCCTCTGAACCTGTAAACAAACTGACGCCAAGCAGGGTCGAGACAAAACGCGATAAATGCGATTTTGTTCAAAATCACAGTATAGGTACTCCTGAAGATGCTGATTCCGGTCCTATAATCGAAAGTTCGATTGCGGAATAATTAGTGGTCGTAATGATGCTTGGAATATTTTAATGAAATTTTTCTCAATACTTATTTCAGTACTCGCAAACTATTGGTTTCTCAGGTGATTGTGTAGTGTTGTTATGTTTTTCTGGATGTCCTTAATTACTGAAATTAATCTCACCAAATTTCAAGTCTGAGAGAAAATCATATTTGGGTGAAAAAACGCGTAAGGGTCCCCCCTTACGCGTTTTTTCCAGGGTCGAGACAAAACGCGATAAATGCGATTTTGTTCAAAATCACAGTATTGGTACTCCTGAAGATGCTGATTCCGGTCCTATAATCGAAAGTTCGATTGCGGAATAATTAGTGGTCGTAATGATGCTTGGAATATTTTAATGAAATTTTTCTCAATACTTATTTCAGTACTCGCAAACTATTGGTTTCTCAGGTGATTGGGTGGTGTTGTTATGTTTTTATGGATGTACTTAATTACTGAAATTAATCCCACCATATTTCAAGTCTGAGTGAAAATCATATTTGGGTGAAAAACTAAGGGGGACCTTACGCAGTTTTTTTCCTAGGTCATTAAATCTATAAATGCGATTTTGTTCAAAATCACAGTATAGGTACTCCTGAAGATGCTGATTCCGGTCCTATAATCGAAAGTTCGATTGCGGAATAATTAGTGGTCGTAATGATGCTTGGAATATTTTAATGAAATTTTTCTCATTACTTATTTCAGTACTTGCAAACTATTGGTTTCTCAGGTGATTGGGTAGTGTTGTTATGTTTTTCTGGATGTACTTAATTACTGAAATTAATCTCACCAAATTTCAAGTCTGAGAGAAAATCATATTTGGGTGAAAAAACGCGTAAGGGTCCCCCCTTACGCGTTTTTTCCAGGGTCGAGACAAAACGCGATAAATGCCATTTTGTTCAAAATCACAGTATAGGTACTCCTGAAGATGCTGATTCCGGTCCTATAATCGAAAGTTCGATTGCGGAATAATTAGTGGTCGTAATGATGCTTGGAATATTTTAATGAAATTTTCTAATACTTGCTTCAGTACCGCAAACTATTGGTTTCAGGTGATTGGGTGGTGTTGAAAGTGTTTTTCTGGATGTACTTAATTACTGAAATTAATCTCACCAAATTTCAAGTCTGAGTGAAAATCATATTTGGGTGAAAAAACGCGTAAGGGTCCCCCCTTACGCGTTTTTTCCAGGGTCGAGACAAAACGCGATAAATGCGATTTTGTTCAAAATCACAGTATAGGTACTCCTGAAGATGCTGATTCCGATCCTATAATCGAAAGTTCGATTGCGGAATAATTAGTGGTCGTAATGATGCTTGGAATATTTTAATGAAATTTTCATTACTTATA